CTGCACAACACGGGTGCACTCACATGCAGGCAATACATTCATACACATAAAATAAAAATAATAAATAAAATATTTTTTAAAAAAAGATCACTGGCTGCTGGGATTAAACTCATACACATAAAATAAAAATAATAAATAAAATATTTTTTTAAAAAAGCACTGGCTGCTCTTGTAGAGGATCTGGGTTTGGTTCTAAGCACCCACATGGTAGCTAACAACTATCAATGACTCAAGCTTAGGCCAGTTGTGATGGCCAATGCTTTTAATCCCAGCACTTGGCAGGCAGATCTCTGTGAGTTTGAGGTCTGCCTGGTCTACAGAGTGAGCTCCAGGCCAGCTGGGGCTACAGGGAGACCCTGTCTCAAAAGACCAATAAATAAAAATAAAAAACAAATAACTCAAGCTCCAGGAGATCTGATGTACCTTCTGGCCTCCTCAGGCATTGCACACACATGGTATACTTACATACATGCAGACAAAACACTTGTACACATAAAATTTAAATAAAAAAAATTTTTTTTGGTCTCTTTTTGAGACAGGGTCTCCCTGTAGCCCAGCTGGAGGGATAGCACAGCCGTTAAAGGCTAAGGCTAACAACCAAAAAATAAATAATTTTTTAAAAAATATTTTATGTATGAGTGTGTTGCCTGCATGGAAGTTCACCCATGTCATGCATAAATAATATTTTAAAAATATTTTATTATTTTTATTTTATGAGTATGAATGTATTGCCTGCATGTATGTGAGTGCACCCTTGTCATACAATGCTGTGGAGGTCAGATTAGCTATTTATACTATATGTTAGTTAGCACGTGCATTTTAACAAGGAATGCTGTGTATAGAGGTAGTCGGTAATATAAAGCAATTGTTTTTTGTTTACTTAGGTCTTTTTGAAGCAGGGTCTTCCTATAGCCCTAGCTGTCCTGGGACTCACTATGTAGACCAGGCTGGCCTTGAACTCACAGAGATCCTCCTGCCTCTGCCTCCCAAGTGCTGGGACTACAGGCATGCACCACCACACCTAGCTAATAATATTGTTTTAAAAACCTAGTTTGGGCCGGGCATGGTGGCACATACCTTTAATTCCAGCACTTGGGAGGCAAAGGCAGGTGGATCTATGTGAGTTTGAGGCCAGCCTGGTCTACAGAGTGAGTTCCAGGCCAGCTGGGGCTCCAGGGAGACCCTGTCTCAATAAGACAAAAAAACAAAACAAAACAAAACCCATAATTTGGGTACAAGTGCTGAAATCAGAATATAAGGAGATGATATTGAGGCATGGCTGCTAACCCATCAGTTGTCTGTGCTGTGCAGGAAAGCATCCTTGCTGTTAGGAGTTGCACAGAGAATAAAGAAATGTCATAAACAGGTGTTTTCTAATGGCTCAGCAAGCGTACTGTGTACACACAGTTGTGGGTGCATTTATACACACACAGGATACCAGAAGGGGTCTCCCCAGAAAATGCCTCCCCAATATGAGGGTCATTTTGAGTAGTTGAGAAACAGCAGGTGCAAGAACAGCTCTAAAACCAGGGGCAGGAAGGTTCCACGCCTACGGAGCAAAAGAGAGACTTCAGCAACTCCCAGTGCAGAGAGAAGCCTAGTGAAATGCCCCTCCCCCAACTCAAGGCCTTCCCTTTGGCTGGGGTGAGCTGGGGGAGAAGCAGGGTCCAGCCACTCTCAGGCCCTCACCGTGAGCTTGACATTGGCACGCAGTGCAGTACACGCATGAGTTCTGTTTTTTCTCTCGTTGCTTGCCTTTGGTCCCAGACCCTGGCTAACGCACTCTACCAGCACACTGGTAAAGAGATGTTCTCTTTCCCTACTCAGAACAGCAGATAATGTGTATGTGGTGGTGGTCTCCAAGTATTTCCTCTCTTCTGTTACACTGAAAATTCCCACTTAGCAGAACATGTATAAATTACCTATGAAGTGCACTCCCCTTGGTTTTATTCTGGATCTGGAAAGAAAGGGCCTTCAGGGACGGGTATTTAGGGATATTGCTCTGGTTCCTATCCTTGTCCATTTATTTCCCAATCAAAACTAAGTTTGACTTAAAGACAGGCCCAAAGACAAAGGAGGACAGCAATCCTAGTGACTTAGGAAGTGCTCTCTGTAGTTTCCTTCATCCATGTCCTTGCATTATTACCACACAGCACCAGCCACACAGCACCAGCCACACAGCACCAGTCACACAGCACCAGACACACAGCACCAGACACACAGCACCAGATACACAGCACCAGTCACACAGCACCAGACACACAGCACCAGACACACAGCACCAGATACACAGCACCAGTCACACAGCACCAGACACACAGCATCAGACACTGCTCTGGTGGGTTAAGAAGCTGCTCTGCGCCCCCTGCAGGCCAAGCAGCAACCTCCACACACAAACCCAAAGGCACACTAGTGGGAAGTTGGGGTAGTGTGCCAGTCAAGAAAGTTGGCAAATGAAATCTTGAGAGAATACTTACAAAAAGAAAAGGAAAGAAAGATGTAATTCTGGGGAGGCAGGAAGAAAAGGAAGTTCACTAAGAAAGCTGCGGGGGGAAGCAGGGTAGAAGACTCGAAAAGGGGTGCTGCTGAGAGCTTCCTGGAGGAAGAGTAGTTCTCAGGAGGCCTCAGGGAGTCTGGGACAGGCTAGGAGTCAGATAATGTGGTCTGCCTTCCACAGGGAAGCCTCTAAGCTTTAGCAGTCATGAGCCACATGCACAGGAGAGCACAGTACCTTAATGGTGATGTAATTTTTTAAGGATTTGGACATTTTTTCTTCGTTGCCTTTCACATGCAAATGCCCTGAAACAAAAACAAAAGCAAAAGCATTCCCTGAGATGGGTGAGACCTCCCATGGGTAGAGCCCGCGCTGGGCCTGGCAGCTGGGCTGGCTCCCCCCACAGTTACAGAGTACCAAGGCAGAGTTCATGCTTCTACAACACCACCCTGAGCCCAACCAGCACTGAGTCCATGAGGCCACTGGCTTGTGCCCTGGAGATGGAGATACAGCAGAAACCTGCACCTGGTAATGCCTGCTACACATGGCCCTCCATACTGCAGGAGGAAGCCCTCCATACTCGCTTGTTTGCAAAGATACCCATGCCACCTTTGGGGAATGATAACATAGAATATTAGGTTTAATAAGCACCCAGAATACAGCCTGCCATGACTGACAACACTGCCCACCTGCCCCCACCCACCATTCAGGAACACCTGAGCCTCTCTTCGGGCGTATGACTACCAGCCTTGCTGTAGCAACTGTCTTCCCAGACCCTACCACACCTTGGTGTCATTCTGTCACAGGATGTGAATCATAGGCAGAAAAACTAAACCCACCAGGGAACTTAAACCCTGCGCCTGGGATTCCCAGGCCTGTTTCAACAAGGCATGTCTCCAGGGGAAGGTCTTGCTGTTCTTAACAGAAAACTCTTCCTCTTTTCCAAAACGCCTTCACAAGATCAATTCCAAGATCCTGTTCCAAGATGGATTTTTCTGAGACTAGTTAAAATGTGGTCTCCCCAAAGAAATGTAATCTTGATCCTGTAATTCTACATAATGTCACATACAGTACTGACAATATCTGGAAAATGAAACGCAGTTGCTGTGATCTCAATGCGTGTGTCATCCCAAGCTCATGCTGAAGTCCAACCCCAAAAGGTGATGGCCAGGTCCACAGGAATGGGATCAGTGCCTGTACTAATCCATTTTCTGTTACTATAAAATACCTAAGGCTAAACTCTTTATTAAAAAAAAAAAAACAACAACCTAGTTTACTTAATTCACAGTTCTGGAGGAAAGGACATGGGCTGGGATTGGCTTGCTCTGGTGAGGGCCACTGGCAGATGGCATCTCAATGTTGGTGAGAGAAGGGGAGATCATATCATATAGCAGGAAGCAAGAAACAGGCTGTCTCTGAGAACATTTGCCCTGGAACTAGTCAGGGCCCATGAGAACTGCTTAGGCCCTTCATCCTCTGGCCCAATCAATTTCCACCTCTAAACTCAGTCCCACCATTCAACACAACTACCCGAAGGACCAAGCACACAGCACATGACCACTGGGCACACACTCAAACCCTACCCAAAGCACAGAATAGCAGTGCCCTTGCAGTGCACCCCTCACCGTCACCACATAGGACAATGTGAAAAGATACTGTCTGTGCACCCAGCAGGCCATGACACCAAATCTGCAGCACCTTCACATGGACCTCTGCCTCAGAACTGGGAACAGCAGGTGTCTGCACCTGGAAGCACCTGATGAGGGTCCTTGCAAACACAGCTCTGACAGCAGAAGAGGGTTACACTGTCATCGTAGATGGTAAGCCAGTAACTGCTGACTAAAACCCCTTTGCAGCCCTGCCTGCATGTGACCCTAGCCTGGTATTTTCTAAATACCCAATAGAAGTACCCAACTGTGCTCAACAGAGATGGACGATGTTGAGATATCAGTGCTGCAAAGGCCGCCCTTTTAGATCCTTATTCCACAGAAAAACAAACTGAATTCCATCATTTAGTGACATAAACCCACTCAAGAGAACTGAATGATGGACAGAAGAATGTCCATAGAGGGGCTGTTGGCAGAAGGGTCACCTCTGACTTCTCAGATGGTCCACATGGTGATGAAAGCATCCTGAAATGCCCCAAGGATCACAAAGGAAGACACTGGTTACTAGCACTTCCAGGACACAGTTTGGGACACAGCAGGCCTGTTTGTGCTTGCTCTTAGGACACAATTAGAAGTGCTCCACATAGGCAGGTTTCTTTGCACGTGATCTAAAGTGGCATGTAGGGGCAGGAGAGATAGCTCAGCAGGTAAAGGCACTGGCCAACAAGCCTGACAATGTAAGTTCAATCCCCACATAGCAAAAAGAGAGAACCGAGTTCCATAAGTTGTCCTCTGACCTCCACAGGCATGCTCTGGTGCGCACGCGCACGCACGCCATACAAAACAAATAGATGTTAATGAAAAAATTAAGTGGGGCCAGGTGTGGCCTCTGCAGGCATTGCATGCATGTGGTACACCTACAACGCACATGGTGCACCTACATACATACAGGCAAAATGCTCATACACATAAAATTTTTAAAAAATAAATCAAAAATAAAATTTAAGAATAAAGACAAAGTGGTATGCGGACATGTGTCTGCAGAGAAAAATATGGAGTGCCAGGAGAAGTGATGGATGACATAAATATTTGACCCCAGGGCAGCATGCACTTCCTTCCTGCCTCATACCCATGCAAACAGAAGTGGAGGCTGTCCTTCTGTTTAAGGAGTCCACTGAGCAAGTACCATTGGCAGAAGTGGACTTTGGCCAGCACTGACTTCAGGGAAATGACAAAGCACCAGATGACCACTGTGAAGTCTAAAGGACAGTCCCACCAGCTTTGCCTCTTTCTGACAACTTGACAGCTAGGCACTAAGGAGCTGGCTGGTCCAGAGAAGTGGACCAGGTGAGAGGCAGGCATGGTAAACCTCCCTCTGGCTCTCAAGGACCCCAGAGAACCTCAGAGGTCAGGAATATAGGGTGGAAGCATGCTTCATACCAGCAGCCTCTTGTGGACTTCCCTACTGCAGGTGGTATCTCCAAAGCACCCCTGTATTCATATTGCCTTATGAGGCTCCCCAGCTTCCTAATTCTAGGACTTAACAAAATGGCATGTGTTCATGTCCATATTGATATGCATTTTCCTGTTCATCACTGTGAACTCTGAAACTGTCAAGCTCAAAGTAGGGCTTATTTCCTACTGCTGACTTGCTTGTGGGAACAATGGCTGCTGCCAGTCAGCTGGCTTCTGACTAGTGACATAGGAGGCAGTATCCCCAGGGGATGGCAGAGTGTCTGGTGATAATGCTACAGCTTAAAAATGGCATATCATAATTATATATTATACTTTCAAGATTCCATCTTAATAGTTTTGGTTGAAATAAACTTATATAGCACAGCATTGCAAAAAAATTTTTTTTTGTCTTTTTGAGACAGGGTCTGTCTGTAGCCCCAGCTGACCTAGAACTCGCTATGTAGACCAGGCTGGCTTAGAACTCAGAGATCCACCTGCCCCTGCCTCCCAAGTACTGGGATTAAAGGCATGCGCCACCACACTCGGCCTGTAAAATATTTTCTGTACTCTGATCAGTGCAGAGAAGCACATGTCCAAGTGATTAAAATTCAAAAATGATTTCACAGGACACAGAAAAATCAAGCTAGAACTGACCTGAAAACTTCCTTCCTGCTGGCTAGCTTTCTTAGTGCTGGAAGGTGCTATGCAGGCTGCTGGGGGAGAAAAGTCATCAATGGAGTTATACAGCAAAGAACCCTGAACACCATAGTACTGACCTGCCAGGCAAGATGTGCCCACTGGTACAATAGTGGCATGAAGGTTCTAAAGGTAACCAACCACTTTTCTGAGTGAATTTGAGGCCTGCTCCACAGGGAATTCATGCCTGGTACTGTAAATAAACCTGGTTAAAAACCTGATTAAAAGTTAGGTAAGTCATAGGCTGGGGTGGAGATGGTGTAGATAACAAGACACTACTCACTGACTACTGTTGTTTTGCTAAATGCACATGTTGTCAAACTGCCTTCTAAATATTTATGTTTATACCCATAAATTACTGCTCCTCTCAACTCTGGCAGAGAAGCTTCCCTCTGCAGCGGGCAGCAGTTAATGCAGAGACTCAGAACTTCCTTCTAAATATTTATGTTTATACCCATAAATTACTGCTCCTCTCAACTCTGCAGCGGGCAGCAGTTAATGCAGAGACTCAGAACTGGTCAACATGCTGAGAATAAGTGACTGTTGAGTGCTCAGCCCTAAATTTATATCAATATCCCTCCTCCCCTCAACGTTCAGGGAACATTGTGGAAGAGAAGGCAAGAAGAGTGTGAGAGCTGGAGTGCCGTGAAGGCAGTCTTCTGGACGTGACACAGCCATTACACCCATGAGCCTGCTACAGCCACAGCCACAGTGACATGCACAAGGTGAAGCCAACAAGATCAGTCAACATTGCAGCAGGCAGCACTAACGGGGTTCAGTGAGTTAGAAAAAGAGAGAGAGAGAAGACATGAAGGTGGTAAGTGGATGTGTTGGGGGGCAGTGGGGAGTGGTAAGTTGGGGTGGATATGATCAAGATATATTGTATGTATTGTCAAAGAACAAATAAAAGAAGTTTTTTTTTTTTTTTTTTTTTTTTTTTTTTTTGAAAGGGTTTCCCTTTACTCCCCCTATCCCTGAAGTTTC